TAGCAATCATTTTCCTTTTTGAAACAAAAAAAATGATTAGTAACATATCTATATTTGGGGTCTTAAACTATCTGTATTAAGATCTACTGGTAGATCTCAGTTTTATCTGAAAGTTTCCACACCAATTGTGAACACCAATGCCTTTCTCAACCATTGTTGGTGGCATCTACCTCACCTTCCTGTCTGGTCATTATCAGAGGCTTCGGTGTAAGCCATTTATCTGTGATTTCAAAGCTTTAACGAAATGAAAAGGAACTTCTCCTTATAATGTATGGAGCCTTGATTTAAGTAACTGATAATTCAAACATAAATAAGAAATACTTATTCTATACAAATTTCATATATTTTCTGCACTTCTCTCCATGGGCATGAGGTGGTGAGAGTAAAGCTTTGAAAAGGGAAGCATTTTGATCTGTTCCATTTCTTTTTGGTTTAACTTCGGGAAAACCATTTCTACAGGATATCTATAAAGTCTAAAAACATAGATAATATGTTATTCTTTTACAGACTGAACATACCCAAGAAGCTTTGCCCATGATTTCTGCCTTTATGGACATCTATATATCCTTTACAAAACTGAGGCACTTTCACTATAACGGTAGAGGAGAAGTTACACGGAAGTTACAGAAATTGAGGTGAAAATGGCCAGGATTTAGCCAGTCATTTCTGTCTTACAAGCTCATGGGGGGAAAAGAAGAAGATGAGCAAGTGGAGTGAGGGACAAACCAAGTGCTTCCTGTGTACAAGGTACTGCTCTTGACACTGAGTAGAATAAAAGAAGAATAATAAGAACTTCTATCTCTGCTACTAATATGTATGGTGTGCTTGCTATGTGCAAGGTGCTTTCCCCTTTCCCCCCTTCTCTTGGTGTGGCTCGGGGAGAGGAACAGCTGCTACTACCAAAATTCCTCCCAGACTCATCTTCCTATTCTTTTTGAAGGAATAAAAACCTTAATCTGCAGAGGGAAAAATCCCTGTACCTCTGCCATGTAACAGAATCAGAGAAGTGATATCCCATTGTCTTTGCCATATTCTACTGGTTAGAAGCAAGTCCTATCTACTCAAGAGGAAGGGATTGTTTAAGGGTATGGGTCATTGTGAGGGTTCATCTTAGAATTCTGCCTATCACAGTGGGTCAAACAGA